TTGCCAAATACCAACGTTCATCATCCATCCTTCAATTGCGGAAAGAAAGATAGTTCTATTAAACTCTGTAAACCCCGGATGGGTGGAACCTGATCTAAAATACAATTTATTATTGGATAAATTAGATATTTTACCACTATAAAATATTTAATATTAACCAATCGTAATCCATCCAACTAACAACCCACTTATTTGTAAGTGCTGAAATTACTTGTAATTTCAGCACCAGAGAGACTTGAATTTAACTTAGAAATTAGTTACCTCTCCAAGTTACGTTTTTGAAATGATGAAATTTGCATTTGAATGGTTTTTCAATATAAACCTAAAAAACAAAATGACACGGTGATGAGGCTTGTATTCCCACCATGAATTTTCAAACATCGACATTAAATGAAGACGATTATAGGAGAGAAGCAAAAATCGTTTCATATTTCTTCTGTGTTGTTACTTTTGGTTTGACCATTACTAGTTGTCACTTTTGATTCATCACTTATGATGTTTGTGACTGATGATTTGATAGTACTGATTTTTACTCCTGAGTTTTGAGTCGTGATGAGTCGTCGGTTCCTCATACAACAAAGCATGGTACGAAAAAGTAATCAAAGCTTGTGCTTTGGTTGATGATCTGAAATACAGTAGAATAAATACAGCGAAAATTAAGATTTCAGCAAGTCAGCATAGCCTAACGCATAAGGCGTCTGACTTCGAATCAGAAGATTGCGGGTTCGAATCCCTCAGTGGTCGACTTTTTATTATTAAGTCTTTCGCGGTTTTTGGGCGGTTTTTTTAGATAAACCGCTCAAAACAGTTCAAATCTTGCGCGGTTTTTGAGCGTTTTTTTTTAGATAAACCGTTCAAAAACCGCTCAAACCGCTCATTTTGAAGCAAGATTTTGAGCGTAATTGTCTAAAAAAACCGCTCAAACCGCTCAAATCTTGCTTCAAATTAGGTGAAAAATCTCGACTCGGGATAGAAGCTATGCTTTGAAAACTTGGCGTCGACCTTGTATAAGGATTTATGGTGATTCATGAGTGTCTGTTGATGTTCTAGCAAAAATTAATTGAATGAAAGCCAACGTGTTTATCATGAATGACCACGTGGAGAAAAAGAACCCTTAAACTGCTTTTTCTAGAACTGCAAAGAAAACTGACGGAAAGAAAGCTGACAGAAAACTACAAAGCGTTTAGCTGAGATTATTTTCTAGCACGGTTGGATCTTTTTCTGGTGCTCGGGTTGACCTCCACACATCGAAAATGCTTATCATACAATTCTCTAACAGACAATTCAGTTGTCTAAAATGTCAAACAACTAAAAGTTGGAAAAATGCAAACAGCCTAAGCAAATCCAAAAAAATGTCGGTATTTTTATTGCATTTTGAAGGGTCAAAATGTAAGCCCTTGAACAGGCACGGATCTAGGAATTTCTCGAGGGGAGGGGGTGGATTTTCAAAAAAAAGTGAAAGAAATTTTGTCAAACGTTTTTTTTTTATTTTAGGTCGACCAAATCACTATAAAGTCCGTAATTTGACCAAAATTTTCGGCCAAAAAATTTGACCAAAAAATTGCGTTTTTTCGGCGCGCGCTCCCCCCTCAAAATTAGTATAGATTGGCACCTAAGGCGCGTTTAGAAGAATTTTTGAGGTCAGTCAGCCAAAAATTGATATCTCAAAATAGTACAAAGGGGGATCTTTTGGGTCAGAAGGGAGTCGAATCACTGATGGGAAAGGAAAGCATCCCCCCAAAATCGCCCACCCCCCTAAATCCGCTACTGCCCTTGAAGATCTTTGATTTTCAAGAAACTGTTATGAAACCTTTAAATTGAAGTAAACCCAGACTAAAAAAGTAATCCAACTGCAAAGGTAAGTTTTTCACCGCTGTAAAGTTTTCGAACTCATTCATTTTTTGTTACTTCAGTGTTTTTTGCCTTCTTTTTTGACCTTTGCCTTAAAAAAAACTAAACATATAGCTGAATCTCTGCCAGTCTTGGGTTTCAATTATGGAACGAGTCAGTTTCTTCAGCATCATCAACAAAGTTATTCGGATTTTTTTTCAAACTTTTCAACCAGTCGGAATTCAGTAGATTCTAGACATAACTTTAAATGAAATATTATCAATATTTGGAAAATGTCTTTCAGAAAACTTTTGAAAGTTTTCAAATTTCTCTACAAAAAAAACACAAATTCCGAGTGTTTGCTTCTTGATGAAATAGATGTGGATGCCTGATTTTTTTCACAATTTTTTGGCCGTTTATGTAGATCAAAATAGAGTTCTTCGACTAAATAAATGTCATTTAAGAGAAACTAAATTCATCAAAAAACTTATTTTGATCCAGGATTTGCGAAACAAAACTTCAAACTTACGGTTGATTTGCGCCTGAAAAATAAAAAAATATACGTTTAGAAACTTTGAAATAAATTGAAAATAGTATGATAATATATCGAAAACTCATGTTATCCTCTATCCGAAACCTAATTATGTCAAAACTTACCAGCAATATTTGTACCTCCATTTCTTTGAAAGATGAAAGTGTTCAACGTTCAAAATCCTGTATGATTAGGTTTGTAAGACGATTTCCATAAAATTTTCATAAAATTTCCATATCATTTATAAAAATTTTCAAGTTCGAGTTTTCATCAGAAAATCTACATCAAAATCGAAAAACTTGATTCTCAAAAATCAAAATATCTCACTGATTATATACAAAACTCAATGGATAGTCTGTCTCTCTAAAACTTGCAATTAAACGATTATAAATTCATGATTATAAGATAAGAAATCTATTTTGTTAATTTTTTCGAAGCAATAAAAAAATATTTTTTAATTGCTTATAATTGATCATCCGTAATTTTTTTTCAATAAAATCTCTTTGAACAAATTTTTTTGTGGTTTCGCTAAATTTTCATTTTTTAAATTTTTTTAATTTTCAATCACGAAAGGGGGACGTAAGGGGCGATGCGTAGGGGGTGTACCGGGGGGGGGGGGGGTGAAGAGTCGGAAGTGAATCGAGGGGGGATCGATGAATTATGGAGGTGAAGCGGGTAGGGGGAGGGGAGATCAATGCGGGAGGACTGGGGGCGTAGCGGTGGACATGTGATCCGTGATAATGGGGATGAACGTATTCTTTCGCGCTCGAGTTTTGCAGAAAACTATAAAATTAGGAAAAAAATACAAAAATGACAAAAAATTTGATATGACGTAGCAAAATATGGAAAATTTGATGTCCGGGATTTTAGAAAACAGCTAAACGACAGTTAAGACGATAGCCAATTTTGTGGGACTTTAAGACGACGATACTCACCTTATCCATTTGCATTTTTGAGAAATACAAACAACCACTTGAATTTGAACAAATTAATTGAAATTTTTGACACTCATTTTTCGTACTCTTGTCAAGTCAAATAATGTACTGTCGTCTTTTTTATCTAGCATCGTACAAATTACGTAGATTTTTTTTTCAATAGAAACTCAGCTCAACAAAAAACTCACTCAACGAGTTCTATTTTTTTCAAGGAAGTTTAACTGAAATACTTTCTATTAGGTTGAACACAGTTTGAAATATATGGCTCATCGATTTCAAATTGATCCAAATCAGCTACAGTATGAGGCCAAACTGTGCTTCTTGGCAAATGTAAGCTTTTCCGCAACAAGGGCGTTCCCTTTGTTCTTCTTTTGTTCTTTCACTTACTTTGATAGTTCCGACACAAATTTAACATGTTTAAAGACTTGTTTCTGGAACACATGAACATACAGACACAAAACTCTGCGCTAATTCAGTGCACAGATTGGCCTCGTAATGTACCAATGCATATTTTACGAACCCAAATAAGTTATATTTAGATTTAAATTAATCTTTTCTGATGATTTTGGATGAATTTTAATAACTAAAAATCTATTCAAATCAATTTGGATGAATTTACCAATTGACAAAATTACATCCGAATCTTGCTTAAATACATCGAAATTTTTTTAAATTACAAATTATTCCATTTGAAAAGAACCAACAGCAGGTCGATTTTTGTGACTAATACTCCATTTCAAATCGACTTGCTAGATTTCAGAGAAAAAAAAACAATGACACAAGTCAAAACAAATTAGCAAAAATCACCAATTTTACCAAATTTTGGCAAAAATCTATCAACAAATCAAGAAATTGTTCTATAAAAATAAACTTATTTTGAGCTCAATAACGAGCAATCAAATCCGAGAAAATTTTTAATGTGAGTCAACTTTTGAGCAAGAGTTTATGCAGAAATTAAGCAATGCTCAATGTAAATTAGATTCTGAACTCGAATTATGCAAGGAAATCATCGAAATTTTACCGATATTTTTGCAGATAATTGGTCGTTTCTTTCTGCTACCATACGCTATGGATGTAAAATGAAAACTAAAGGGCAATGTAAAAAAGCAACAGAAAATAACTAGAATTAAAATAATTTTAACCCGTTTTGATCCCGCTGAAAATAAAAATTAATTAGGACTGAAAAAAGACTTAAATCGAGTTAAATTTGATTTGGATCAATTCTTTTAGCTGAATCGAGATCAATTTAAATTGATTTTAAACTGATCCAAATCATGTTTATCTTTTCGATTTCAATTTTGTACTTTTCATACTATAAGCAGTTCATTTTTGTCAGTGCGGTTACCGTAGATGTCCTCCCAAAAACATTCAAAATACTCGAGAAACATGTTAATAAGGAACAGCTATTTTATAGTGTTAATAATCGAAAAAATTAATCAAATTTTTGTCTTGATTAATTTTTTTGACTAATTAGCACTCGAATCCAATTTCTGACAAACCGGTTTTTTATCCCTCGCTAAAAAAATTTTTGGGAGGGAGTTGTACGGTTGATCCGAATAAATAATTGACATAAACGTTGATAAATCAATTGGCAGGAAAAATATGATATCCAAGTGCTTAGTTGTAGTTCACTGATTTTCTTATAGGTAGTATAGTTCAACCTTTTCTCTTCAAACAAACGTTCGAATTAGAATTTACTAATCAAAACTGGTTAAATTAATTAAGAACGGTCCTTCGTATATTTGATTAATTTTGTTCTCTTCATGATCAGCTCCGTATACTCATATAGAAATCTTTACTTTTTTTGACACAGAAATCCATTACCATTTCACAGAACAATGTGCGGATCCATTTTGTGGTTATCTTTAGTCATGATCGGTATGTACCGTTAATAGAAAAGTAAACAAAACTTATGTTTCAAGAAACAAACCAAAGTCAATCAACCTAGAAAAAATATCTAAGAAAAAATTTTTGTTTAATTTGATTGTTTTGCAAAAGAGTTTTTGGCGATATCAGAGATAAACCTTAACAAAAACAAAAAAATTGCCGGGATCAATTAAAAAGTTTTGAGGATTTACTCAAAAATTGGACAATTTTATCTTGAATTGGAATTATTTTCGGAGAATATCTGCTTTTTTTGATAATTCTGACTAGAGCTGTGTTAGATTTGGCCAATTTAACAAGATCTGCAACTACAGAATTTGACCAACATATATTCAAAAATCTGAAGTTAATTATGATTTAAAAATGAGCAAAGACACATCTTTTTAATCATTCCATCAACACAAACAACTATTTTCCAAAAGTGATTTACTGAGCCTAAATACAGTCAATCCAAATAAATTTTCGCATTTTGAAAAGCTATCAGTTTAAGTCAATTTAGATTTGATCTACATAAAATTTTTCCAGTTTTCTAATAAAAAAAAACTTCAATATATTAAGAGTTAATCCAAATTGACTTAGACATCCTAACTAAACAGTTTTTGATACTAAAGTTGATCATAAACCATTTTGGTCAGTGCGGATAAGCAGCAAATTTTTTGCAAATTATTTTTTGAAAAAAAAAACAATTTTCCAATTTGGCTGAAAATTTAGCAAACTCTTAGCAGCACGTTGCTACGAAGGTTGCGAAGTGATAAATATTCAGTTCTGGTTTTTCCAAAGAGAATTCTCATGATATATAAAGTATTTAGTTTTTGGCAATGGTTGAAATCTGTGAAAATTCTTTACTGTTGGATTAACATCTTAACACTTCTGTTTACAAGGCAGTGGATCATTTGGCAGTATCCTAATACCAAAGTCTCTAGAATGGGAATCTATGCTGTTTCTTATCCCCAGCGATTACACTCCAGACAGGAGGTCACAATTGTGCCATAAATACAGGCAAGTAACTCCAATAAAAATAGATGACAACCTATCTTGCAAGATTTTGTACGATTTGAGTTAGAACTTCCAGAAAAACAAGCTTGAATGCGGATGTCACATTTCTGAAAATTTTGAAAGATTCTTACAAATTGTGCAAAGAACTATGTCATATGAAAAGGCTTAACAAAAAATTCATTTAATCAAGATTTTGGAAAATATTTGTTAGATTGACCCAAAATGTCAGCTAGGGTAAAAACAGTAGCTGATATAGGGAAGGGGGCGGACGCTTCTTCTCTTTAAGAATTCAACTTCCTCGCTACCTAAAGATTTCCTTCTTTTGTCTTTTAATACCTCCAGTACTGGCTGGCTGATCATAAATGTTCTCTAAAGGCGTACGGCGTCTTCAACGCCAATATGTACTAAATTTGAGGGGAAAACTCATGCCGAAAAAAAAACTAAATTTTTTGGCCAAAACTGTCAAAACGGTCTAAATACGGCTTTTCTTACCTGTTTTGGTTTTCGAATTTGGCTTTTTCGCCTTTTGGGCTCTCGAAAAATTTCCAGAAAACAATCGTTTTTTGGAGAGAGCGAAGTTTTCTTCAACTAGATGAGGTTTGTTTCACCAGCGGAAAAAAAGTTCAGTGCATTTTTGTTTTCAACAGCACGTCTGATATAACTGACATCACTTAGTGAAATTTTTTCAAATAATTTATCTGACTTATCATTTTTTTTCTTTCTAGATTGTCTCAAATTTATTTAGTTTTTTCTATTGTATTCAAACCGGTGATTCATATAACAAGGAAAATGAAGGGAGATGTATTTCAGGTTCATTGAAGCAAAAAAATTAAAAGAGTTTAACGATGAGTGTTTCAATACATATGCCGTAACAAAATAATCTTCTCAGAAAATTGCATGTTAGGTCTATGGTTAGTATTTTTTCATATATGAAAATTGTATGATTAGCATTTTTGGTCAACACGGGAAATCAAATGCGATTGTAATTACCTACATCAGCCGCATACTAAAGACAAAATAATCTACTTGCTATAATTGTTTATGACAAGGCCAACTCTCAACATATAGTTAAAAACCTAGATTTTTCGCACATTCCGGCTAAACACTTGAATGATCATTTTGGCAATGTTTTGTTTTCTCAACCATTTGCACATCTTACTTCCCATATTTTGCTTAGTTCCCCATTTTAAAATTAAAAATTTCTTCTATATAGTTCAAAACCTACAAAGTTATCGCTAAAGATGTTGCTTTAAATAAATAAAATACTGCTTATATATCAAGGCAAAGCTTTGAACGTTCCGAATACACTTAAAATTTGATTTTATACAAAATGGTGAATTAATTGACAAATTAATTGCAAAAATGGAAAAACTCTTCCCTTTATCTCAAAACGCCTTAAGTAATTTTCAAAGTGTCTCTTCAGCATCTCCGATTGTTTTAACAAGACTGCTCGTATATCAGGGCAAGGATCTGAGTATTTTGAGTGCAATGTTCTTTAAAAAAAATTTTTTGATAGAATAATTGACGAATCGAAAAAAAATTATCGATATATTTCCTTTTGTCTTCAATTTTTCCCCTCAGCTATGAAAGATACAGGGGATGTGTTAGCGTTTTTTTATTGTTTCAAAAAGATCAACGGTTTCCATTCAGTTCCAAACGCCAAATTTTATAAAAGCGCAATATACAAGTTTTATAAAAGCGCAATAGATCGCGCGTTGATTATCCCGCTTATTTGATTACATTTAAGCTTAGGGTAAATATGTTTCTCAGATGGTATAAAAAATCAGTCAGAAATGCTTATTTAGGAAAAATTGACTTAATAATTGACTTCAATCATTAATATTCCGCAATTTATTCGAAAATCGGGACAATAATTAGAGAGCTTTTTCTAACCGGGTTTTGCTTTACAAGACAAAAAGTTTACGTTCTTTTTTAATTTTGCACTCTCAAATTTTTGAGAACAGTTTTTTTGTAAAGTTTTTCTATCAGTTTACTTCTATTTTGATCAAGTACATGTGATGTGTTGTTATTCTCAAATCCATAAAAATGTTTGCGTGTTTTTATAGTTCCTTGTAGCTGTAGAGATTACAAAGGTTCTTAGTAGCATTGTATCGTGTCCCGGATCCTAAGGGGGGTCGTTCCTAAGGGGGGTCCTCACATAAAGCAAAATCCTAGGAAAGGGGTCCTTAATTTTTCGGAGGACCCCTATCCTAGGATTTTGTAAATGATCGCAAGTTCCCACCCCTAAAGTAAAAGACCCCCTTCTTAGGATCTTGTTAAGCTGAGCTCAACAACCGGGACGCGATACAATAATTCATTCTAATTCCTTTTAAAGCGGTCCCTTTTCCCGCGATAATTAAAATTAATCGTCCTAATTCCTGAACTTTTCTAATTCGTCCTATTTTCATGTGGATATCATTTCCTGGCTTTCTTTCTTTTCGTCAAAGATTTGTCATGCTATTAAAGTTTGTTATTGAAAACGAGCCTAAGGATTTCACATATTTGTTTGAATTAACACTTGGTTTGCGTCAACAGGTTTATTTGCCTGAAGCTATTTTTAATAAAACAGTGATTGAGCTCAATACGAGTATTTTATTAGTTGTGAAATGGTAAAAACCAAAACATATACAAGTCGAAGTACAAAAAGGACGAACCGTAAAAATCATCTAAAAATATATGTTTCAGATTTTAATGTTTATTGTTTTGGTTTTCAATGCGCTTTTTTTAGGTGGTCGTTCTTCTGAAGCTTCAGATAAGATAAATGGGTTATTTATAGGGGGACGTTCACGGACTCGGCTACTAGAAGCTTCTTCTTCTTGCAGCTCTGTTTCTGAGTAGGGCCGGTGTAAAAATCCCCAATCTGGAAGTTGAAAATCGGGAGAACTGTTATCAGTTTCATTGTATGAGTTGGCCCACTCGTTGTCCATGTAAATGTCTTCGGGAAAAGCATTTTCTTCAGCGGCTTTATGGCCAAAGGGCACTGTCGACATTCCGTCGAAAAGTAGAAAACGTTTGGAGTCGAATGATGATAATGTAAGTTTGTTTTGTTTCACTGTCATATTGGTGTGAGCTTTCGAAACTATATTATAGTTGTACACTCTGACTGTTTTTCCAGTGAATAATGTGTCCCTGAAGGTTTGGTGGACCAGTTCTCTCTGTGCACGCCGTTTAATTCCTTTGGCACTCAATTTTTGAGTGCCTTCTAAACAGAAGCAAAACTGTTATTCGTTTCTACAACGCAGGGGATAATTTCATTTCACTTCAGCAACTCAATTTATACCGAACAAAATTTCATTCATTTTACCAAAAACGAGCAGAAGACTCTAAGTTATGATTAAAAAAGAGGAAAAGAGAGGGAATATGTTGTCAGATAAATCAACGTTTAGGCAACATTGTAGAATGTTGCCTAAATCAGCTAAATGCCCATAGTTTATTGCAAAAAAATAAGGGGGGGTAGGGGGTTGGTGGTAGTAATTTTGTTCTGTAAAAGGTAGGAATGGGGGTGGAAGGGTGGCTTAAATTTTATTTACCATTAAGGACGACCGAATATAGTTTCCGTTTTAGGGCGATGAATTCTCTGATCGGCTTCCCACCAGTCTCGCCTTTGAATTTCAGCACAACTTTCTTGTTGGTATCCTCGAACACGAAATGGTCCTCATCGTAATTTGAAAAGTCGAAATCAGCTTCTATTTTCTCCAAGTCTCGGTAAACGTCATCAGTTTTTATGGCATAAATAGAACTATCCGTGTCGGAGTAAAGGAGTTCCAAGTTTAGATTTGGTTTCAATTTTTGATAATGAAACTGAAACATGAAACGCTTGGCGAGGTCTAGGATGGTTGCACCAACTATCATAGGTTTGTCCCACAATATTTTTGTAACTGAAAAGCTGATTGTGGCTAATTGATTGTCAATGATTTGAAAGCTTTTCATTGTGCTCAGAGCTGTTTTTTGTAAAAGTTCTCTCTCATTCCTTACAATCTCCAGCTTCTTTCTTCCTAACTTAGACTCCATTGTCTTACCGAAAGCTGAATTAACAATAAGCTTGTAGAAGGTCTCCTGGAATTTATTTACCGCGGCTTTTCGTAGGCGGGTGTTGAGGTCGACAAAGGGTGCCATCCAGTGACTTTGGCGGAACTGAAGAACTTTTCCTAGGTGAGTTATTTTCATTCCCAGCTCATGGTACAATTTTAGGGTAAGGTAATGCAAAACATAACCTTCTTTAGGATGCAAGGTCTGTAGAAGCTTTGGCACATTTGGCAGTGTGGTGATTCCCAATTTTCCCAATATGTCGACTTGCTCGTTGCTCATTGCACCGATGTCCACTACTTCACGAGAGGGGGCAAGGGGGTAATCAGCAAAGAAGTCGTGAAGCTCTTCGGGTATGGTTAAATTGACTCCAGCTATGAAACCCCACTCTGAGGTTTCGCTGGTGAGCAGTATGTCTGCCAGACTTTTTTCAACTATTGAAAAATCGTTTGAGGGCAAAGGGCAGTGTTTCATTATCCCCCTGTACAAATTGTTTGCATCAATATTGAGGATCTAGCTTGATGGTTCTGAGGGCGAAAAATCGTCGAGGTATTTATTGTTTGCTTTGTAAAATCGGCGCGCATAAACCGATGACATGCCTCCTCGTATCACTCGCTGCACAAGGTCTAGATGTTCACGGTCCGTTAAGAGTTTCAGTTCGGGCTTACAAACTTTTAGAAAGGCGTCCCCGGAAAGGTTACTTGCCGTGAAGTAACAGGCGCAATCCAGCCCGTATGTTTGATGGCAAACTTCTTGGGAAGCTTCGAAAACGGAAGCAAGCAATAGCACATCTGTAGTCAAGTACAAGTCGTGGTAATCACCAAGTGAGCCACACTTCAGTTCTGTGAAAACTTTAAGGGCATGATTGTACTCGCTTCTTGAAACACTCACATCCCCTCCTGTTAGACTATTTTTCCACATTGCTCGTGGGGGAAGGCGAGTTTCTCGGAATTTTTCGAATGACTTGAAGTATGAGT